AGACCTCGGTTTAGGGTGGGACCGAAATACAGAGTGGAGAGCAGACACCCAGAATCCCACACTCCCTGCCTCCCTCGCTCTGTGTTTAAAACAGTTTGTTCTGTCTTCAGCAGAGCAGTGAGCCTGGGGAGAGAACTGCTCTTGCTGCAGAACCAAAGTGGGTGTCTGAAATCTGTTCCTCTCCCCCGGCTGCACACTGCTGAGGAAGCCGGTGCCAGAGGTGGTCAGAGACTGCTCTGTAGAATCTGAAAAGGACAGGCTGAGGGATGGCAGGAGGTGGTGAGTGCAGGAGAAACAGCCTCTGCCACTCAGGTAGGAAGTGGGAAGAATGTTCAGGGCCTTGAAAAGAGGGCCATGTGGCATATCAGATGCCAGGCCCTGGGAGTGTGGCCAGATTCCTCCGTCACCTTCTGCCAGTCCGTAAAAATACCTTCGAAAAATCCGGGGCTAAACGTGAGCCTCCTCGGTGTCTCACTGTGCAGTTCTGTTTTGCAAATACCTTCTCCCTTCCATCCCTCCATAAGGCATACAGAGCCTTGGGTCTGGAATGGGTTTTGAAGTTTCAGATGCCAGTGGAAATGATGGTGGTTCAGGGTAACTGCGGGAGATCCATGAAGGACATGAGCGATGGTTTCTCTCCAAAGCATGATTCATCAGTGTGAGGAAAGATAGTCCCTTCTCTTCATGTGGCCTCCTTGGGCTCAGAGTGAGTGGGCTGACTTGCAGAGGGTGGGTGAGGAGGAGGGGCAGGCAGTGTGACGCTGGCATGTCAGTAGATCTGGACATACCAGTTTCTGAACTGGGATCAGGATCCCCTTAGGTTTCTGGCTCTGTCCATGTTTTCTAGAGGACTGAAGATGTGGAGAGGCATCTCTAGACTGTGGGGAGTCAGGCATAGATGATAGATGAGCCTGCCATCCCAGTTCAGCCCTTCTTCTTGGAAGCCCCTGGCCCCCGCACACCCTGAGATGGTGCTTATTATGCCCACCTTATAAGCAAAGAAACTCAGATGCAGAAAGTTTCAGAATTCACCCACGATCATGTGGTTAGTTTATGCCGAGCCACAACTTGAACTCAAGTCCAGTAGACCCCAGAGCCCATGCTGTTTCAATTATAAAATGACTGGTGTGCATAAAGGGGTAGGCTGGGGAGTCTCTTCTTAATGTGATTGTCTAGGGGAGCCACTGATGACCATAGAGGAGGGGAGTGGCATGGTTAAGGCAGTGTCCAACCAGGAACTTCCATCAGGCAGTCATGACCCAGGTGAATTGTTGGGATGCTCGAGTCCAAAGTGGGAATTACACCTGACCCATGGGGAAAGTAACTGTGACGCCAACTTGTTGAGGACTTGATATGTGATGGGTACTGCCCTGGATGCTTTTCTACAAGGAGGTCATTGAATCCTTCCTGCTTAGTGAGGAAGTGTGATCGTCACCAGCAGGGTCGTGCAGGGCTGAAAACCTTGGAATCTCAAAGGCAGGCCAATCTGATTTCCCTGCCCGTATGACCCCGGAGGAGTCACTCTGGCTCTGAATCTGTTTCTTCGTTTGTATGACAAGGATCATGCTGGGATCCGTTGAGGAAGGTGGTTGGAGGTAGGATTAACTGAGCTACTACACTGAAAGCGTTGAGCCACATAACTCTTATAGACACATTAACTAGTATAATCATTAACATTGCCATACCCATTGTACAGATGTGGAAACTGAATCTGGGAAAGGCGAAGTGAATTTTTCCCCCCAAGGCCACCCAGTTAAGATCGGTACCCAGACAGCATGACCCCAGAAGTTACACTGTTGTCCATCCTGGGGAGAAGATACTAATGGGGACTAGAAGAGAGTTACAGGAGAGATTCAGCCTGGACTAATGCACCGGGGGGGGGGGGGGGGGGGGGGGGGGGGGGGGTAGGTAGGGTGGGAATGGCACAGGCAAGGAGCTTGCACATGTTTTTACACAGACGGCTGTGACAAACAAGCCTGTGGCTAATGAACTGCCATCCCTATAATTATCTTTCTCCTTCACGAAGTTCACAGTGCAGCCGTGCCCTCCTCCCCACATGGGGAGTTAGGTAACGCTGCACTTACAGAGCTTCCAGCTCTGCTCTGTGCACAAAGCTGCTTGTGGATACAGTAACGTCTGCCTCATAGCACAAGGAGCAGGGGCGTGGGAGCATCCCAGACACCCCCTCTCTCGACATCTAGCATGCTAGATCTCCACCTCTCCGCTAATTCCGATTATGCCTAGCAAGTGTGTCCATAGGATCATCTCAGAGATCCTTTTTATTGAGTTTCGACCGTGCCCTGCTTAGCATCTGCCCTCCTGGGATCTTTCTCCATGCCTCGTGTGCTCAGGGCAAGAAGATGCTGATCCCTTTGCCTTTTGCAGTCCTGATGTGACTCTGGTCAGCAGCTTCCTTGGAGCCATCTTTGCTCTATGGGGATTGTTACACTTCCTTGGTAATTAAGTTTGGAGCTTCTCGGTGCCATCCCATGAAGCACCCGGAAGTGTGTCGTGTTGGTGGATGTCACTGCCTTGAGACTTGACTTCTCCGCCTTCATCTCTTGCTGGGTTTTTTAGGTTATTGTTGTTTTGGGTATTGAACAAGGTTCTATGAGCAGCTTTTGAGGCTTGAAGGACTTTTGTATTCCTTTTCTGATCAGAAAAGGTCACTTTGTATGTTTCAGAGATTGGATGGAGGACTGGTAGGTTGGTGATGTTGAAAGATTTAATTTTTTTGGACATGACATTCAAGAGCCATAAACCGAATTCTTCTGTTTTGCTTTGTGTTTAAACCAAGGACATTCCTCTTAGACTTCATTCACACATTCATTTACTCACACGTTCCCTCATCCTGCATTTCCCGATGTGTCATGTGCCAAGCCTTCTGCCAGGTTCTGGGGACAGAGAGATGAGGACAGCAAGATCTCTGCCCTTGAGCCGTTCATGGTCTTGTTGAGGCGTGATTTAAAATGATTAATCAATCTAAGAATATTGGATTTCTCCAAAAGCTACTATAGGGAAAAAGATAATTATCCAAAGTCTTTAAATCTGTTACCCATTTTAATTGATTTAATTAGGTAAAATTCATAAAGCTGTATTGTTGGAAGGAGCCCAGAGGCATTTATTCCTGTTTTTTTGTTTTTGGTTTTGGTTTTTTTTTCCCCCTTCTCTGCCTTCAAGCCGAGCTGCACTTGAATTATCCCCCAAACCCATGCATTTCAGAAAATGGAAGTATTTTGAACAACTATGGCTTTTGGCCCATTCAGATAAAACTTTCTATTCAGTGAGCACCCCAGGGAAAACTTGGCGGACTTCTTGAAGGGTTGACATGCATGGCTACAAAGTATTGTTTTGAAAGACAAATGGAACCATCCACTCTTAATACACACACACACACACACACACACACACACACACACAGAGAGAGAGAGATGGAACCCCCATATTCCTACCATTGAGGTGAACGCATATCCTGTAACTTGGATTCTAGACTATGGGAATGTAATCCCATAGCTCAGAATGCAAAACGAAAGCACTGCTGCACTATAGTAAGGACCCCTTGAGAATTCTTTTAGTTCCCGGGGACAGAAAACCCTATCTCAGCACTTGTCACATTGTGTTTTGTTCTGACACAGAGGCACACCTTCCATTTAGCTGGCTTTTTGTGCACCTTGCCCATCAGTCAGCAGCCTGGTCTAAGCACCTGCTATCTGCAGGTCTTCAGTGATCCCAAGAAAGTCGTGGCTGTGTTCTGGAAAGGGGGCTGGTCGTGGAACCAGATCCCAAAGTCGTTTCGAGCCTCATGACCGCCCCCCGCCCCCGCCAACACCACCACCTGCACAGAATCATCATGGGGATTTTAGGAGTTACGGGGTGTGAAGGTAGTTTATAAGTTGTCCAACTGTATGCACTGCCTGCCTTTTCTAAATGGAAGTCTGTCCTCATGATCAGATCATGACTTAGGGAGGTGTTAGAGCTATCAGAGGCCCTTTAACCCAACACAAGTTGCCACGTGCCTTTCCAGAGTCAGAACATTGAGCAGCTCCCTCTTATGCTTGAATAAGGTCTGAGGCCACACGTAGTGGGGTTCCTGCCGAGTTCTTCACCATCTTTTCATCCCCCTGCTTCACGAGTGATAATGCGTTTACCTCTGGCTTCTAGAATCCTCGAGGTGTATCTGTAGGGCCTCTGAGTATCATATTCCCCCGTTCCCCTTCTTCCTCACCCGGATACTCCCTCAGCATCCCCTTACGCTTCTCTCAGCCTCTAGTCCCAGGACATTGCTCTTCCCCAAATTCCCACCAGATCTGCGAAGGTAGAGACCACGTCTGTGTCTGTCTTCCATATCATTTACCCATGTTCTAAAATGGTGTTGCTGCATAGTTAGGGGGTCAACAAGTACTTGTTGATCCAGAGAGACATTTAGGTAGAATGTCCAGCGAGCATTTATTATACTTTATAGTACACAGGAGTCTAGAATCCAAGCGACAAATCCCACTTGGACTAGCTCAAGCAACCATGCCTTATGTTGGCTTATGACCAACAGGTCCAGAGTCGGTGGCTTCAGGCATGGCAGACGCCAGGTGCTCCAAGTGTGTCATCAGGACTGTGTCTTGGTGTCCTGATGTTGTCTCTTTTGGCTTCGTTTTCCAGTTCTCAGCCTGGGACCAGATAGAGTTCATTGTGTTGAAACCCCAGGGGCCCCAGAGGGTAGAGGCAACAGGATTAGCCAGAAGCAAAAACAACAGACATCCTTCATGCGCCAGGCTGTGGGATCCCGGTTCAGGGTCTCTCTCCTCTCTTTCTAGTGTCCGTCCCAGAGTGTGGCCTATGGTAGGTGCTCAGGGATGTTCGCAAACACATAGGTGTGTGATGTTTTTGCCCTCCCTTCTCAAAAGGCGTTTTTTTAAGCCTATAAAGACAGATGGTTGTATATAAACCACCTTCTGCCTCATCCTCTGTTTTTTGTTTTTGTTTTTTTTTTTTGCACCTGTTGGCAGGACCCAACATCAACCTTCTTCCAGTTCGGAGCGTCCATCCAGCAACAAGCCACAGTCATGCTGAAGATCATGCAGGATTACGACTGGCACGTCTTCTCCCTGGTGACCACCATCTTCCCCGGGTACCGGGACTTCATCAGCTTCATCAAGACCACCGTGGACAACAGCTTTGTGGGCTGGGACATGCAGAACGTGATCACCTTGGACACTTCCTTTGAGGACGCCAAGACCCAGGTCCAGCTGAAGAAGATCCACTCCTCCGTCATCCTGCTCTACTGTTCCAAAGATGAGGCTGTCCTCATCCTGAGTGAGGCCCGCTCCCTGGGCCTCACCGGATATGATTTCTTCTGGATCATCCCCAGCTTGGTTTCTGGGAACACAGAGCTCATCCCAAAGGAGTTCCCGTCAGGCCTCATTTCGGTCTCCTACGACGACTGGGACTACAGCCTGGAGGCGCGGGTGAGGGACGGCCTGGGCATCCTCACCACGGCCGCATACTCCATGTTGGAGAAGTTCTCCTACATCCCCGAGGCCAAGGCGAGCTGCTACGGGCAGACGGAGAAGCCGGACACCCCGCCGCACACTCTGCACCAGTAAGCGGGCCATCTTTGCTTGTCTCCCGAAACGGGACCAGAGTTTTGTTTGTTTCTGTGCCTGTTTGTTTGTTTGAAAACTCAGAGCAGTACATACATATACTCCCTGCTGAAAACCTGCCCTGCAAAGAGCGAATGCTTATGGGATTCTCTCCGATTGGCTCTCCTCTCCTCTCTTCCCCCCGACTCCTCTTCTGTTTATAACTTACATCCCACTTTGTTTTCTGCAACTTTTTTTTTTTAACTCAACAATAGACCTTGGAAACCGAGACCTGTGTCTGTACCCATCTGTGTATCTCTCTCTCTCTCTCTCCATATTCTGTCTGTAGCTACAGCTCAAGTGTGCCTGTGTGTGTATGCATACATAGAGATGGATTTTCTTTTTAAAGATTTTATTTATTTGACAGAGGGAAAGAGATCACAAGTAGGCAGAGCAGCAGGCAGAGAGAGAGGGGGGAAGCAGGCTCCCTGCTGAGCAGAGAGCCCGATGCGGGGCTCGATCCCAGGACCCTGAGATCATGACCTGGGTCGAAGGCAGAGGCTTTAACCCACTGACCCACCCAGGCACCCCTAGAGATGGATTTTACATGCACATACATACACATCATGGATGGATGTACATAGATGTACGTGTGTGTACGTGCATATGCACAGACATGCACACATGAAGGTATATAGATAATAAGTACGTGTAGATGTGTGTGGGGGTGGGCGGGTGGGTGGGCGTGTTCTTTGCAACCTTCACGTTGCATTTCTCAACAGGGAGATACTGTGATTTATTTACCCAGTCACCATAATGATAGAAAATCTAAGTTGTCTCAGATTTTGCTCCCCATGAGAAACGAAGCGGCCTTGATGGTCATCCCACAGGTCTCCAGACTGGGTTCTAGGCAGCTCAAGTTGGGGGTCACAGAACACATGCATGTAAACATCCAAGTACTTGTTGGCAGACTGTCCTGCCAAGGAACTGTCCCGATCTGAATTCACACAAGTCACTCAACTTCCCACATCCTCACCAGCGTATTACACTTTGGGAAAACTGCCCACGCTGGGCCTTCCATCCTCTGTTGGACTGTGTGTCTCAATGTCTTCCCTTCTTTGGTCCTGTCTTTGTGGGTCATTGGAAATCTTGGCAAATAACGCTTCGAAGACGGCGGTATATTGCATCCTATGGACGTATCCTGATGTAGTTAACTCCGCCCGTCTTGGTGGGAATTTCAGTTTTATGTTGCTGAGAAGCGTCATTGGTCTTCGTGCCCATCATTATGGCACAGCTGTTGACAATTAGAATGATCCCTCCTGCACCCCACTCTGCATGCTTTTGCCTGATGTTCGATGATTGAATGCACGTACCTTCGTTTCCTCAGATGACAAGCAGCACAGCTCTGTGATGAAGGCATGGGGCTCTTGGGGTAGATTTGTCAGGGTTCAAATCTTGTCCACTTCCTGTATGCCTTGGCCGGTCACTTTGCCTTTCTAGGCGTCCGGGTTCATTGCAGAGGGATGATAATAGCACTACTCCATCTAGGCGGTGCGTCACAAACTTGAGCACACATCGGGATCACCTGGAGGGTGATTTGTTAAACCACAGGTGGCTGGATTTCACACTCAGAGTCTGTAATCCAGGAGCCCTGAGGAGGGCTCCCAGAATTTGCAATCCCAGCAGGGCTCCTGGGTGATGCTGGGATTGCTGGTCTGCGGATTGTGCCCTGAGAACCAGCGTTCTGTGGATTGAGCTCAGTATCAAATAAGGTGATGATTGGAGAGTACTGTGTAGCTCAGGGCCTGGCACCCGGTGGTGACTGACTGACTGTCAGAATGACCAGAGAGGTGGGTTTTGGTCATCAGAACTTAGAGTCAGCCGACGAGGTTGGGTTATTATCAGCAGAATAATACGTCACTCCCCAATGTCTCTGGAAGGTTTTAGGAGTTTGAATCTGCTACAGTTCAGGATCATCTCTGAGCGGAGTCTGGAGACGTGTTGAGCGTGCGTCTATGTGTGTGTTTATGGGCTAGAAGGATTATGGCTCTTTAAAATCGGTATACACCTGCAAAATGAACTCTTGAGTTAAGAAATTGTGGTCCTTTTGCAGTGTTCCCTTCCCCTCTCCTCATTCCCTCCTTAGGGATCCTCTTTCTACACTGCCACTTCCAGCGTCTTAAAATAATTGTCTAAGTATCAGGAAGCAACTCTGATGCATCAGTATGAAGCATGGAAGCCTCTTAGGGAGGCAGGATTGCTGTCAGCCCAGTGACAAGGGCTGGGCTAATGAATGCTTCCTTCCCATAAGAAGTGCCCTACAGCTGGAACAGTCACAAATGTATAATTTTGATGAAAACATAACTCAATTTTACAGCAATTGAGATATAATGTATACAGGAAGAGGAATTTGAGAAGGATAATTGTCAAGACATGCAGAGCCCCTTCCAGTGACCACCCTGAATTCCATTCCTTAAAAAAAAAAAAAAAAAAAAAATCTGCTCTGAAATGCTGTCAAGCTATTTCTAGGACTTATGCTCTGAAGGCAGCAATTTCGTGGATGGTGTTTGAGCCCTAGAGTAGCTGGGCATCAGGTGGGGGGAGCCGTCATCCACTGCCTGGTGTTTCATGAACCGTCCCTCCATCCATGGGGCTCAGCTGGCGCTCACCCGTGTGTGAGGCTGGACCGTGGCACCAACAGTGGCTCCTTACCACACTTGCCCACTGTCCCAGTGTTTCTTAAACTCCCCCGGGAAGAAGAGATGCTTGCCAGGCAAGGAAGGGACTGGGAACTGGAGAAAGCCCCAAATGGCCATTTTTCAGAACAGCATTAAGGACAGTGCTCTCTCTCCATCCGTCATTCCTTCCAGCCAGTAGACCCTGTGTTGGCCCCTGGAACACGGACAGGAATGAAGATAGAATTTCTCAAAGAATGAAGAAGGAGGAAATCTGTCTCATGACGTACTCTGGGAACAGGGACTTTTTAAAAAAATACTAGGGGAAGAAAAAAATAAAAAGAATAGTACAGAGTCTGATAAAACACCCACCCCAACACTCATCACAGAGAACAAAGATGAACATGTCACATTTGTTTCAAAATTTTAAAAGAAATAAAACATTCCTGATGATGTAACAGTCCTGATTATATCTCTCCCGAATCCCACTTTCTTCCCTTCCTCTCCTCAGGAGGAAAGAACACTGGCGGGAATTTGGTAGGGACCAGATCTGTGTGTGTGTCTTGTACTTCTCATCTAGATGTCTGTGACACCTTAGATCCAATACACAGTTCATTTTAATGCCCATAAATGATGTCCGATACGTTCAAATTGCCTTGGCTTCAACCTTCGGGTTCAGGATGGATCTCGGAGGACACTTGGCCTTCTCGCATATTCATCGTGCTTGGGCTTCTGTGCTCGGTTGTGTAAGTGTTGTCATGTTTGTTTGATCGTCACCCCCACTATGGACATTCACGTGGTCGATGGTAAGGGGTCTTCATTATTGGATCCATGAGCTCGTTCAGCGGAAGCCCAGGACTCTTGAGTTCCAGCTTCTGCCAAGCATGCGGTCGCCAGGTAGCTCTCATTACTCCCACTTTGTGGAAAGGAGGATACACGTAGTTTCAGAAGAAGCTCAGATGAATTTACACAGTGGGTATCCTGGTACGTTGCTGCGGGGATCCGGGGTCCGGCTTGGACTGATTGAGCGCACCATCTTGGAAGCAGTGACACATGTCCTTCTGTGGTCTTGAGGGACATGGCGTGTAATCTCCCACCCAGAGCTTGTGCGCACAGGATGCCGTAACCATGACTTACTGCCTGCGATGGGGGACGTGGTAGGAGAGTCAGCTTGCTGAGGATGACGTGGGCCTGTTTCTGTCCCTGGGATTTCAGGGGGAAAAAAAGGTGGGGACAAGGGGAAAATGTTCTTTAATATTCCTGGTTTTACAGAAGGCACTTTGAAAAGAGCAGTCAGCATTTTATAAAGTTCAAAAATAGCTCAGCCATGTTATGTAACCTTCTTGCTGCTGCGAAGTTATTAAACATCTGTCCCTTCCCCGAGCGTCGGGTGTATCGCTGTTAACTCCTGGAACGGTGACGTAGGTCAGTATCTGGAATAGAGGCTATTCTGTTCAGTCCTGTCCCAAGCGTCCCTCCAGGACGCTGGTGGACAGGGCCCCCTGGGAGGCAATGTAGCCTCAGCGTGAAGCATCCGGCACTGAAGCTTGTCTGCCTGGGTTTGAGTCCCGGCTCTGAACTCTTCTAGATCCAAGGCTTTGGACAAACCCCTTAATTCCTCCAAGTCTGCCTCCAGAGATATAACATGGGGACCAGAAAAGTGTGTGTGTGTTACCCCGGAGTTTATAAAACAGTTTATAAACCCTTACTCCTAGGGCAGAACTTGCAAATATAAAATTGTGAGTGAGACCGATGTATCCGCACGCCATAGTCCACAACATTGCCATTCATTCATTCCCTAGAAAGGTATTTATTACCTGTGTAAGCTAGATGCCAGCTCTCCATAGATGGCAGGGTAGGGAAAGCCCCATAGGAATATGGGGGCAGTCAGTGTTGCCACGCGTCTTGCTGTCTTCGAGATGTGCGGGTCAGGGGACCGACCGTTCCATAGTAGAGGCTCATCGCACCAGTTGGAGGTACAGAAGGAAAGGGAGGGTCCTCCTGGGGAAGCAGAACCCCTAAGAAGAAGAGGACTAGGATCGGGATGACTCGATGCTCTGCTAATATGTCCCACACTTCTTCCTGGTGGCTTTTATTCCTTCCCCCAGTGCCGTAGCTCTGGTCATACTCGATCATACTCATGCTGTGTCTGGGTTTGAGCTTGTAGACCCAGGAGAAGTTCCTGTCGCATGTTAGGCCTACAGTTCTATAGGGCATGGAACATTACTTGTGTGTTGTGAGTGGTGTGTGTGTATGTGTTGTAGTTTTCTCATTGTACCAGAATTAAGTGAAATCATATGCAAAACATCACTGTGCCTAACATGTAATAGACATTTCACAAAAAA